AAACACAATATTTTATGTATTTTTATGTGTTTTTGTACCTTTTCAATTTAATTCAGGGCAAGCAGAATTTACTAATCACCGCTTTCTGTTTTTAACAGCATTTCAAAGACCATCCCTACTATTATCGAATTGGGTTTGAAGAAATTGTGCGCCAAAGTTTGCAGAAAATGCCATGTGTAGGTGTGTTCTCTGTAGAACATGTTAACTTATATTCACTTACAAAATCAATAAAACACTCATTTGCCTGAGGATATTCAGACTTATTCAGACCAAAAAGGTGTTAAACAAGTCCAAACTGTCTTCTATTGTGGTAGCCCCCCATTTTGTGCAGCTTGTTTGAGTTGTAAGGATGGACAAAATTCATAAACATGTGCCCTATATTAATGTCAATATTTCCATTTTCAGTTTATCAGTACGTTATACAGCTTTATAAAAGTACAACATTTCAAACAAAAGCTTTATAGCGTCCTGATTTAACTCTCTAGCCACAAGGAAATATGTTAGCCCCAAGCTAACATGCAAGTCATAAAACCATGATACGCTGTGATAGACTGAGTTACAGTTTGATACAATAAAATATTGTTACATCTCTAATTTTCTCCTCCGATTTTACCCCTAATTTAGTCATGTCTGATTCCCCCTCTCCAGCTAGATCTCCCTCTATCACACAGTGCTACCAAGCTGGAAAGGTGAAGGCTAGCACATACGTCCTCCATGATATGTGACGCTCCACCACATCTTTTCAAACTGCTGCTAACACATCTTTAGATAGCTCAGCACACTAGGAGGAGAATGCTAACTGTTATTTCTGGAATCTAACATTAATTGTCCTCAATTTGGTCCTCAGGGCCTCCCAGAGGGTCCACATTTTTGCTCTATTCTTATGTGTTGTGAGTTGGGCTGGAGCAAAAATATGGACCATCTGAGGAGCCCTGAGGGCTGAACTGAGCACCACTGTGTTAGATAATGAGGACAACTGCTCCACTCAGGACTTTGATGCAGCTTTGGACACTCTTGGTGTTCTCTCAGGCAGCTTCATGAGGAGCCACTAGAGGCACTTTTCCAACATGACCGAAGAAGAAAATGTTTCTTGTAAATAAATAAATACATATACATCAACTGTATTTATCTTTGTTTAAGCATTTAAGCACAAGCCTGTACATCAAAATGCTAAAACAATAAGATTATGACAAACACAGTCAGCTCCATAAATATTTGGATGTAGACAAAGTTATTGGTAATTTAGCTGTCTACCACAGTATATTGAAATTGACATGACTTAATGAAAGTGAAAGCGCAGATGTTCAGATTTAATTTGAAAGTATTTACAAACATTGGGTGAATGGTGTAGAAATTATGACCATTTTCATACATCAAAAGTAATAAATAAATATAATCATAATTTTTAATACTTGGTTGAAAATCCTTTGCAGTCCTTCTGCTTTCGTTGGCAGTCACAACTTAAGTAAATACAAGGGAACCAGTTCTGTTAGCAGCCATTCACACCAGCGCCTTGACACTACCTCCACCATGCTGGACAGATGAGGTGGTATGATTTGGATCATAAGCAGTTCCTTCTCTCCTCCAAATTCTTCTCTTCCTATCATTCTGGTACAAGCTGATCTTTTTTCATAAGATGTTCCAGAACTGTACAGGCTTTTTAAGATGGTTAGTAAACTCTAATCTGGTCTTTCTGTCTTATCAGGACATCTTGTGGTAAAGCCTCTGTATTTACTCTGATCTTGGTTTTTGACTTTGACACAGAAACACAGACCTCCTGGAAGGTGTTCTTGACGTGGCCAGAGGATTCACCAGGGAAAGGCTGCTTCTATCATCTTTCCATGGTCTTCCAGTCCTTTTGGTGTTTCTGAGCTCACCAGTCCATTCTTTCTTTTTAATAATGTACCAAATAGTTGAGCTGGCCACACCTAATGGTTTTACTATCACTAGGATGGGTTCGTTTTGATGTTTCAGCCTCAGTCTATGAAAATGATTGTAATTCCTGCATCATTCATCCAATTTGGATATAACTGTCCTCAAAGTAAAGCTGAGATTCTATTCATTATTTAATTTTACTCCAATATGCTGTGGTAGACAGATAAAATAACAATAACTTTATCCAAATGTTTAGTTATGGTCCTGACTCTACATTCAAAAAACCTCAAGTATTTCCAAACTTTTGACCGGTGCTGTAAATTCACTCTGTCCTCACTCTGATGACGAAGTCATATGTGTTTTTCATACTGCTCTCCTTTAACGTATGAGAGTCTGATCTTGCCAAAAGACATTTTTACAGCGTTCTGGGTCTCGCCACTGCCATTGACTAAGCGGCGCTTATTTAAGTGAAATATTTGGCCAATCAAGATGGGACTCATCACTCGTGAACCTGCTATCTCTCCTCTCGTATTTCTTGTCGGACCGCCGTGGAAGAGGTTGGCAAGAGCGGCGCGTTTTCGACTTCTTAAAACAAACTCGTGCGGCAGATGAATGTTATTAGTCTGAAAGATTAGCCTTGACAGGGGTGAATGAAAAGCAATGAGGTGTCCTCTCTCAGCCTCGGCTCCTCCAGACAGCGCCGTAATGATAAAAACTCACTTGAGCCTGATCCGGCCAGAGGCCCGGAGGACTCTGCTGTTCTCACATTACGTCAGAGAGGCTGTCGCGGGAAGCCCTGGCAGGGCGATTCCTCTCCCATCAACCGCTGAAGTAAACAGTTTTCCCCGAGTGTAAACACACGTCTGTCGTCACTCTTGACAAAACGCAGCAATTAAGATTCAGCTTTCTCCTTTCTTAAATGCTGTCTGTTTATTGTTAGAGGAGTTATACCATTATCACTGACACTGTACTGTAGTAGACGTAGATTAAGTTTATTTGACCTTAGTTCATACAAGAAATGCCATAAGTAAGACGGCTTTCTCTCTCCTGAATACAATCTGTTTATTTTTATATGAATTATACCATCATCGCTGACAGTGCAGTGTGTCCGACTCTGGCACTTTCCTTTCCTTTGTGTATTGTCTTTGTTAAGAGTGAAAAACAATGAACTTTTCCAAACCCCAGAAGTGAATACGAGGATGTGCGGGACCTTGGTGTGAAGTGGAATTTATAATGCTTTACATTTACATAAAAAAAAAAAAGGAATTACAGTTTGCAAACATGTTGGGAAATTCATGACCTAAAAGACAAAAGCCTTAACATTGCTCAGGAGACGTCTAACCAAATGTTAAGAAGAGCCATTTTGTCCTTTCAAATAAAGTCAAACCACCTTGGGAGCCACAGACTTCTATGTCAATTTCATTGAAGTAACGTTTTACCATCTTGTCTGAAAATATGTCTTAATATGTGCTAGATAATGTTCTGGTATAGACTAAAAAAATATAATATAAACGAAAACGCAGACTTACTTTGCTTTGCTTTAATCTTTAGCTCAGCTATAGCCGCTTTTCTCACATCTCCAGCAGGAAACATTTCCACTAGATCGGTTTCTTGTAAAATGTCTCTCAATGTTCTTTTTTTTATGAGGCTGAGGTCAGCTTCTTATTCTTTAGCTTCTTGTTCTAATCTTCCCGTTACACCTTAAATGGCACCTGAGGTGCCCAAATGTAACTGCTGCACCATTTAAGATGGAACGGGAAAATTCGAAATTGATCATAAATGCAAGTCCATTCATCTCCACATCAGTGACGTTCATCTTAAATCTTTCTCTTTGTCTTTTCGTTAGCTACTAGGTAGGTGAGACTGAGTTATCTGCATTGTCTGCATTGCTATGGTGACCAGCAGTCTGCGTGGCTACCTTCAGGGTTAAAGAATGAATTTGCCGTTGTACGTTAACTCCAGCGTTTAAGACCATTCACAAAATGAATTACATTTACCTTTGATTTACGTTCTGCACTGACAGGTTTGGGTCTTTTGAAAGGGGCAGTTGTAGACTGTGTTTAAGCTGATTGGGTTTATATCGAACTGAATGACTGAAGGTAATGGTTTGTTTATGTTTTTATGCGGTTGTTCTTGGGGAATTTTAAAAGTGGTTGTAGTCGTTATTTGATTGTTTAAACAGCTGTTTCTATGGTATTACAGGTGGCTGCTCGTTGTTTTCTCTGATATTATAGGTGGTTGGTAGGTTGTTGTTAAGCAGTTGCTATTGCAGGTGGTGGCTAGGGTGTTGGTAGGTGGTTGCTATGGTACTTCAGGTGATTGCAAGGAAGTCGATATGGTTGGATGTTGTTGCTTAGCAGTTGCAATGGTATTTCAGGTGGCTGCTAGGGTGTTACTAAGTGGATGTTACAGTGGTTTCTAGGGTCTTGCTAGGCAATTACTATATTATCTTAGACGGTGGCTCAGATGTTTGTAGGCAGTTGGAATGGTATTGTGGTTAATATATTGATAAGTGGTTAATATTCCAGGTGGTTGCTAGGATGTTGTTAGATGGTTCTTAGGGTATCGCTGGTGGTTACTAGGGCGTTGTTAGTGGTTGCTACGGTATCTCTAGTGATGGCTAGAGAGTTGCTATATGGTTGTTATGGTATTGGAGGTGATTGCTAAGATGTTGTGTACTATTATTTATACTTCTATCTTGTGTATTTTAATTTTACATATTATTATATATACCCTTTTCTGTTATTGCTTTTATTTGCTACATTTTTTATGTGTTTATTTTATTTGTGATTACTTTTTTTCTCTTCTTTCTCTGTTGTTTTTACTTTTCTACTTTGTATTGTAAAGCACTTTGATCTTTGAATTTTGAATGTGGGAAAGGTGCTATTTAAATAAAGTTGATGATTATGATCATTATTATTATTATTATTGTTATTAACTCTTATACGTATGAACACAAATGTGGTATGAATTAAAAGTTAAAAATCTGCACTTTCCACACAGTTGCTGTGGAATAACATCAGATTACAATATGATTTTATTATCTTCTGACTTCTTAAGGGTTAAAAGAAATATTAGCTGTGTCTGGTGTATTATCTGATGAGATGGCATGTTGTGTCCTGCAGGGCAGTGGGTAGTCCTTTGGTCATGGACCCGAATAGCATCTGCAGGAAGACTAGGCGACTGGCTGGAAAACAGGCCGAACTGTGCCAGACCCAGCCTGAGATTGTCAACGAAGTTGCCAAAGGTGCCAGGCTGGGGGTCCGGGAGTGCCAGTATCAGTTCCGCTTTCGGCGATGGAACTGCACCAGCCATAACAAATACTTTGGCAAGATCCTGCAGCAAGGTGAGCGCTAGAACTTTAATTGGGCCTGAATTTTTTATTCAAACCTGAGTACATCCTTTAAACATTACAGCTCCACCCATAGCACCAAGTTTATAGTCCTAACCCAACTAGCCCAACAGAATTCTGTCCCAACCTGATTGTAGCCCAGCAAAGTTCTGCCAGAACCCGACGGTACAGAAAAAAGACACTAAACTGTCACTGGGACAGAACCCCTTTTATCACTGGGGTGGAACCCTCAAGGGTTCATCTCAGTACCTTTAGTCAGGGAACATAACTGAACCATAATCCACTGAAATGATATGTTCTAAGCTGTACTGACTCCACACACCCCGTCTCGTCTCCAGGCTTTTATTTTACTGTTCTGTTTTAAAACATTCAGTAATGAAAAGGTACAAATACGAACTTTTCACCTGGAAACACTTATTTAAGGTTCACAATCGGAAATTCTATCCCAACTCCAGTTGAAAATGAAAAAATTCCATCCAAAACCAACTTTAGTCCAGCAAAATTCTGTCTCAACTTTTGTAGCCTAAACATTGTAGCCTAAAAAAGTCTGTACTAACTCAACAAAATGTTCATCCCAGACCAAATGGAGCCCAAAAAATTCTGTCCTAATTCAAATATAGCCCTAATTTGGACAAAATTGATCAAATTCTGTCCCAACCTGATTATAGGCCACAAAATTCTGCATGATCCCAACAATAGCTGACAAAATTCTGTCCCAACCCAACAATCACCCACTGAGACTGAATGAAACACCACATTCCTATTATTCCGATTAATTGATTGTGTCTGTTCCTTTACCTTCTAATCGTTAGCCTTGTGGACCTTGTCGTCAATGACATGAGTGACTCCAGTGTGCAATATTAAATACTGTTTAAGGTAAAAATGGAGAGGAAGAACAAAGTAGAGAGAAAAATTAAAGCAGAGGTCAAATTTTGTTTAACATGGAAGACGGGCTATGAATCTTTGGTAGGGCGTGACCTTTGACCCTAATCCTAGGACCCAGTGCCCAATGCCCTCTGCTCAGATCCAGGCAGCGGCCTCTGTAACCAAATGAACAAGGCTGGCTGTTGTGTTTCAGACACTCATACATCTTCACTAATCTTGCCCTGCTTTAAATTGCCTCTGGAAAATTACCCCCCAAATTGCCCTACATAATCACTAATGTACCAGCCCTTTGAAGAGAGTAATAAAACTAATGTAGGCTCTGCTTCTCTGTATAGGCACTATTGTTCATGTTTTGTTGCTGGTGCTTCTAAAAGTGGATCCTATTATCTAATGTTTTGTAAACTTCTCAAAATCTCAAAGATCATCTGAGGCAGCGCCAGCCTGCTCTAGTCAGAGAGTAGGCCTATTCTTACTTCTGGACTAGCCCAAACTGGTCATAAAACAAGGATACTTTATTTTTCTTAATGTCTGACCAAATATTGTAAGCAGCAGTTTCAGAGCAGCAATGGTATGAGTCCATACTGTTTAGTGCCAGCTGCTTGAGTTAAGTCCAGTCGAGGCCTGTAATCAGCTCAGATGAGTCTATACAGAGAGCTGAGCTGGCAGTAAAGGAAGAGTTTGAGCTGAAATGTTAACACTATTATGAATTAAAAGCTGGTAGCCACTGATGGGCATCGTACAAATAAAATAATGCTAATAGATAGCTGTTAGCTTCAGTTTCAGCTATTGTTCTAAAGCAGCTTTCCAGAAATGTGGGAGCAACCTCCTTAGTGAGTGTCACAAAGGGAGACAGAGTCAGTCACCAAGAGCATGAGAAAGAACCACTGAGAGGAACCAGGAATGAGAACAATCAAACATCCCAAGAGCATAAGGAAGAACCACTTAGAGGAACCAACATTCAAAAGGAGATCTTCCCTAAGAACATGAGGAAGAACCACTGAGAGGAACCAAGTCTCAAAAGGAGAAACTTCCTGAGAGCATGAGGAAGAACCACTGAGAAGAACCAAGACTCAAAAGGAGACACTCCCTAAGAGCATGAGGAAGAACACTGAGAAGAACCAAGACTCAAAAGGAGAACTCCCTAAGAACATGAGGAAGAACCACTGAGAAGAACCAAGACTCAAAAGGAGAACTCCCTAAGAACATGAGGAAGAACCACTGAGAAGAACCAAGACTCAAAAGGAGAAACTCCCTCAGAGCATGAGGAAGAACACTGAGAAGAACCAAGACTCAAAAGGAGACACCCCCTAAAAGCATGAGAAAAAAAACATTGAGAGAACCCAAGACTCGAAGGGGAACCCAGCGTACTCTGGGCCACACCAGATAAAGGAACTGGTGGACTTTATTTACTCTCATTCCTTGTTCAACATTTTCAACCAAATCATCCTGTTAACAGCAGCATTTAGGCTGTGATACATATATCAGCCATTGCCAGGACTCCTGAGTCCTGCTATAGGGTTTTACTGCCAGCAGAGGGCACACTGTCTGATCCAGGCCAGGCTTGGAGGAAGCCCTTTGGCCAAGATTGAAGGAACGCAATGGGCAGCGGAAGAATTTGGTCTGATTTCTTGCTTATACTCACTCGGTGTGACTGCCTCCATGCAGAGTAAGGTTTTATACCCAGGCCTCAGTTCAGACCCAGCGCACTCCACTCTTAAACTGGACTCTATGGGTCAGTTTCCTGGATATCAAATAGTCTTGGACAGTTGGAATTGTAATCTCACTGGGGCTCATTCACGAACAGCACATTTGGGCGGGGTGGGAGGGGGTGGGGGGGGGGAATATTACATATGGACAATTCTAACAAATTAGTTCAAACTGCAATCCAATAGTAAAAAAAAAAAAAATATATATATATATGTATATAAGTAAATAAAAAACAATGAAGTATTCATAGCTTAGATATTTACAAGGATTATATTCTGATATATTTAAACCCAAGATATTAATGGAGATATAATATAAGATAAATATAATTATAAAATTATCATTTACAGGGTGCTTTCTTTTGGGAGGTCTTTGTCCCAAACCCTAAATTCATACCTGTAAATTTAATAATACTTATAGTAGTTTTGTATTTTTTGTTGTTTTTTTTTAATATATATTTTATTTCTTTTAAAGTGAAGTTAAAAGATTTAGATTTATCATGAGTTTGATAAAAAAAAAGACTGCTTTTCCATGTATTCATGTCACTACCGAAACACATTGAGTTTTAGTCTGTAGGCGGAGCCTTATTTTAGCTCCGCCCCTGTAATTTAGAGCAGGAAGTGAGGCTGCATCCCTGTCCCTCATGGCCACATGGTGAGCAGTTAGATCCCATTATTTTGAAGTAAATGTGTCCCAAAGTGTGAAAACCAGTGTGGAACATTAAGAAATTGTCACTACCGAAACACAGATTTTCTGCAGTTAAGTAAACCTTTTTTGTGGTTTAATGAAAAAAATGATGATGAGTGTAAAGCTGTTCAAAGCTGTGTTTGCTGGTCATGTACCTACTAATGTTTGAGTTCTGCTCAAAATGAGCTAAAACTGTCAGTACTGAAACAGTCACTACTGAAACAGTCACTGCTGAAACATTTGGTGAAGTTTCATTAGTGTTATGATTGTTCTGGATGTGATAAAATGGAATGTTCAATGTTTTGTTTTAATAAAATTAACATAATTAAGTTATAGGATCACTCACAGCAAACTTCCATAATGTTTTCAATTCTGACTTTGAACCAGTTGAGTAGCATGATCCATATACAGCTTAATATATTTGAGACAACCAGTCAAACCAGCCATACCAGGATCATTATATCATCATCATTATTATAATAATAATGATAATAATAATAATAATCGTCATTACTGCTTTCATGGGTGCCAACACTGTGGGGAAAAATGTTTCAGTTTTTATTTTATGTAGCATGGAAAGTGGTTAAAAATTCATAAGAATCATTTTATGCCTTTATCTGCAAATTAAGCCGTTTCATATAATTAAAACCATTATTCCTGAAGCAGTAGTGTACGTACCCTTGCGTACCCTCTGTGTAAACACCCACTTGCTGAGCTACGTAAGTACTTGATTTGAAACACAGTCATGTCTCCTGCAAGAGCTTTAGCTGAATTGATGATTTCGCCCCAGGTGGGCAGACATGTTCCCACACGGGCTGCAGAAGCGTCTGCGGAGGATGGAGCCAGACCGAGACTGGCTGACTGACTGCCTGGCGAAGTAGAAATTAATCATAAATTCCTCCACGTCTATAGGTGGAGGCTTAAGTGGCTCTGCTGTTTTGAAACATTCGCCACAATTACGGCTCTTTAATGACCACGTGTCAGCGAGAGCAGCTCAGGCCGAGGCAGGTTCGACTTCCTGTTACGAAGCGAAGTGCCGGGGCTTCGCACAAAGAGCCGCACATATTTCTGCCCTGCTCAAATAACCGTGGGCTGTTTTCTTCCCTATTCAAACACACCAGCCCATGCCGCTGATGGGGCCTGGGGCGAGAAGCCTCCCAATGCCAAATTTCAATAGAAATGCTTCTTTATAGTTAGGTCAACCAACGACTATTGGCTGCTTTGGAGGCATGGTGCTAAAACGCAAGTTTACCTGACCAGAGATGGCTAACTCCGTGCCCCAGTGAACCATTGATGGTAACCAATGTAATTATCTCTCACAAAATGTTTCAAAGCGTATTAAAGAGCAGCAGCAATCACCTTCTGACACGCCTCCCTTCTGCTGTACTTCAGGGTTCTAGATTGATGGTTTCAGACACTATCTGAAACACATTGGTGAACCATGACTATTAGAGCTAGGCCTTCAGTTTGGGATGTGGATGTTAAAACCTGAGAAAAAAAAAAAGAAAACAACTCTACAGTAATGCCAACTTCTACTAGCATCCCTATGGGACTCTAGTAGGCTGTTAGTACTAAATTAATAGTGCTTCACATGAACATTTTTTGGCCTTTCAAGTGTTTACTAAGTTCAGGTTTATGCATCACTAAATCCAAACTACAAACTAGTTTTAATGTTGACCTTAGTAGTGACTAAATATTAACACCTCCCCCTCAGC